GAGGGTTGAGCAAGGACTGGAGGGCTGCAACGAGCATTCGACTGGAGCAAAGGATGCGGTATTTGCTGAGCGCAGAGAGTCTGCAGTGTCGCACGTCGTGCTCGTGACCAGCGACAGCGACTGCTGGGGAACGGACTTCTCCCCCTCTCGACTCTCGACTGGCGACGCAGCTCGCTCTCCGTCTGCGCCTCAGAATGATTCGTGCGGATGCAGGATTGCAATGCAGGGGGGAGATAGAGACAATGCGCAGAAACCGTCCACCGTCCTTCAAGCCACCTCCGTCTTCTTCGCAGCGGGAGATCCGTCCCCCTCCTCCTCCCTCCCTCGCTTCTGCCCAGCTCCTCCAGACGCACCCGCGGGAGACATGCCACCACCGCCCTGCTGCATCCCGCCCATCATCGGCGACATCCCACCCATCATTCCGGGCCGCCCTCCGTGCATACCCATCGCCATCCGCTGCTGCATCTGGACGAGCATCATCTGGCATTGCTGAAGCTGCGCCTGGAGCTGCATCCGCATCGGCGGAGGCAGACCCGGGTTCTGCAGCATCGCCGACAGCTGGAACATCTGCTGCTGGATCATCTGAGGCGAGGGCATGCCGCCCATGCCGCCTGCCCCGCCGCCCATCATTTGCTGCTGTTGCATCGCGAGCATCTGCTGCTGCTGTTGCGCGCGAAGCTGCTGCTGCTGGCGCAACTGCTGGGCTTGCAGCGCACCGGGCGGGATTTGCGGGACGGCGGGGAGACCTGGCGTTGCCGACGGAGCTCGAGGCGGCGATGCCGATGCTGCGGGTTCAGACTTGACGGAGTCGGCTGGAGCGGGCGAGCCTGCTGGAGCGATCGGCTTGATCTCCTCGCCTGGTCGGGGTTTGCGAGGGTTGAGAATCTGCGTGTAACACGACGTTCAGCCGGCGCTCGGGATAAGCAGGCGCGAAAGGAGCAAAGCGTGACGCACCTCTTCAGGCTTGGCCGGGAACAGCTCCTCCTCCTCCTTCTTGACATCCTCCTCCTTGACCGCCTCCTTATCCTGCGACTCGCCGTTCTCGCCGTTCTCGGCCGCCTTCTCTGCCGCAGCCTCTTCCTCAGCCTTGCGCTTCGCTTCAGCCGCCTTGCGCTGCTCCTCCTCTGCCTCAAGCTTCTTCCGCTCCTCCTCGGCCGCCTCCTTGCTCGCCTGCATCATCTCGTCGACATACTTGGTGACGCGCTCGCGCCGCCCTTCGTCAGGCTTGAGCTTCTCGAGACTCTTGACGCGCGTCTCGCACTCGGGGCAGAGCATGTCGTTGTCGAGCAGGGCGTTTGTGACGCACTCGTCGCAGAACGACGTCGAGCAGCAGGGCGTGAGCATGGCGTCGCGAAGGAGCTTGGAGCAGACGGGACAGGTGAGGTCCGGATCGGTTGGAGCGAGGTTCTGGATGTCGTTGGCGGAGAGGTTGGCGGTGAGGGCGCGGTGGGCGAGCCACGAGGCGCTGCGGGAGCGAAGTCGTCAAACAGGCTGCGAGCGCATTAGAGAGCCCTTGCAACGCACCTGTCGGGGCGAGCGACGACGAAGCCACCTTCGGCCGTGACCATGATCCCCGACTTGACGCCGTTCGTCGCCGGTCCGTCGCCTTCCTCGCCCGTCGCGACTTGCGGACCTTGCACCTCGGTCAAGAACGACTTCGGAATACCCGTCGTGCGCTTGATACGTGGCCGATTGTCGTAGGCGGCGTCGCCATTGGTCGGGCACTCCTGGATCCAGTGACCTATCGAAAAGAGGCGCTGAGTCGTGCGAAGGAGACTAAGGGACGAGCTGCGACGCACCTTTCTGGCCGCAGCGATAGCAGATGTAGCCAGGCGGAGGAGGCTTGTGAGCCATGCCAGAGTCGCGGAACGAAGGGCGGTTTCCGCCGTCTCCGGAACGACCGGGACCTTGGCCGTGTGGTCGGTTTCCGGGCGGAGGATTGCGATAGACGGGCGTAGCGCTGCGGATGAAGATATCGTCAGCAAAGAACAAAGCGAGACCTGTCAATCGAACAACCGAAGCGTCTTCGCTACTCGAAGGGCGGGACTTACTGCGACATCTGCTCCTGCGTCTGCTGCCACTGCGAGTTGGTCGCGGCGAACATGGCAGCCATGGCGGAAGCTTCGTCTGTTGGAGCGGCGGCGGGAATCTGGACCTGAGGCGAATCCTATCGAGTCGCAAGGAAGAGACGGTCGGCGGGAACGAGCGAGAGAAGGAGAGGAGACGGGACGACGAAACAATGATAAGGACTCTGATTGCTGGAACACGCACGAGAGCGATACTCGGCCGCAACAGAACCGGAACGAACCTGAGCAGCAGAAGGGCGGGCATCTTCGCGGCCGTCAAAGCGCTTCGTGAACATGTCCTTGCTGAATCCGCTTCCGACACCTCCTCGCGGCTCCGGCGCCGCTCCACGCCCCGCCTGCAGTCCCACGCCGCTCTCCTCCGTACCCGCCATGTACTTCAAGGCGTTGCCTCGCCCGGGCCTCGAGGGCGGAAGTCGGCGGGCGATGACGGACGTCGAGCGAGGAATCAGCTCGTGGTCCTTGGTGTACTCTGCTCGCGAAAGAGGGCCGCTGGGTCAGTACGGTTCCTCGCGAGACTGGACCAACTGCTCGACATGAGGCTGGAGGGACGGGCGGCGATCGCAAAGCGACGAGTTGATTGCGGCAAGACGGGCAAGCGCCAATATCACTCGACGGCCAGAAACACGGTACAGAGGCTCGTACAGCACACGCCGCTCCGGAGGGGAGAAGAGGAAAAGAAGGGAGGGAAGAGGAGAAAGCGCAACGAGACGGGCACGCACCTTCCTCGGTATCGGCGTGATAGATAGCAAAGTCAAAGTCGGCGCCCTTGCCCATCTTGTTCTCGGCAATGATCTCCTTCTTGAGGTCAAAGACCGAGATGGCCGTCCCGTCGAACGCGATCCGCGAAGGCTCGCGCTGCGACTTGAACTTGTAGAAGACGAACGAGGACGACATCTCAGCGGCGCGTGGAGAAGGTCAGAAGCTGTCGAGCGGCGGCGGAAGGCGAGGGTGATGAGGAGGGGGATGTGTGAGGTGGCGATGAGACGAGGCGCGACAGCGGGACGGGCTGAAAGCTAGCTCAAAGTGCAAGAATCCCAGACTACGTGCTGTCTATCCTGCTCGCGAGCGCTGCGTGAACGAGGTTGGGAGGAGCCGGTGTGTGGTGACTATGTGGTCGAGAGAGGCGATGCGAGGGCGTGCGTGGGCGTGTAGGTGCTGCAGAGACGATCTTTGAGCTCGTTGAGTCCGTTCGCAAGCGTCGTTGGGCGATGTGAGCAGGCGGAGTGGTGAGTACGAGCGAGAGAGCAGATCTCCGCCTCCTCGCCGACTTGGAGACGGCCTCACACGGCGGCAACGGCTTCCTTCGCTCTCGTTGGACTCGCTAGGGTCACAGAAGACCTTGGGGAGGCAGTGAGAGCAAAAGCGTTGCTGATTTTGTACAACTACAGGCGAGGGAAAACCCTTCTCCTCCTCCTTCTCCTCCTCCTGCGTTCCCTCATCTCCCGCAACTGCGTTTAATCGCGCTGGTTCGACGGGTAAGGGAAGGACTCGGGCGGGGAGAAGGACTCCTTCACGGAGCGGGCCTGGACAAAACGGAAGAAGATGCTCATGGACCCTGCCTTGTCGTTCGTGCCCGACCCGCGCGCCCCACCGAAAGGCTCTGCGAGAAAAGGGTTTCAGCGCGATGCAACTGCAGGAAAAGGGTCTTCTGGGACCCCTGAGATGGAAACTCACGAGCACCAACGACCGCTCCAGTCGACTTGTCCTGTTTCCGGAGGAAAAGTCAGCTTCGCCTCGTTCCGCCAGTCTCGAAATTAGTGACTGCTGAACGCACGTTGATGTAGTAGTTACCCGCAGCGTGGCGGAGGAGAGCGCCAGCCTTGACGGTCGCGGCACGGTCGTCCGAGAAGATGCAACCGGTGAGGGCGTAAGTCGTCGTCTGGTCGATCAACTTGCACGTCTCCTCAAACTGGTCGTCCTCGTAGATGTAGACAGTGAGAACCGGGCCGAAGATCTCGTCGACCATGGTGGGCGAGCGAGGGTCCTTGGTCAGGATGATGGTCGGCTCGACGTAGTAACCGCTCGACGCGTCGCCCTTGCCGCCAGCGAGGACCTCGCCACCAGCCTGCTTGGCCTTCTCTACGTAGCTGAGGCACTTGTCGAACGAAGCCTGCGAGCTGGGGGCGGCACAAGTGAAGGTCAGCCGAAGGAAGCGGGATGACGGAGACGCGGGGTGATGCACATGACGGGACCCATGAAGTGCTCAAACTCGGTGACGGGACCGAGGGTGATCTTGGCAGTCTCGGAGAGGAGAATCTCCTTGAACTTGCCCTCGCCCTCCCACAGGCCCCTCGGGACGTAGAGACGCGAGAGAGCCGAGCACTTCTGGCCTGCGAGTTGGAGCAGCGTCAGCTTGGGTACGCGGGAGTACGCCCATGGTCTCACGCACCCTGGTACTCGAAGGCACCACGGATGGCACCGGTGACGGCGGCACGGACGTTGGCGGAGGGGTGGACGAGCTGGAAGTTCTTTCCGCCGGTCTCGCCGACGATGCGGGGGTAGCTAAGGTAGTTGTTGATGTTGTTGCCAATCTTCTGCCAGAGGTGGCGGAAGACGTGGGTCGAGCCGGTGAAGTGGAGACCGGCGAACATGCGGTGCGAGAGGACGCGGTCGACGAGCGAGATGGTCGCGTCGCCGTTCGGGCAGGGAAGGAACTGGATGACGTTCTTGGGGAGCCCGGCCTCGAGGAGGATCTGGAAGACGAGCCAGGAGGCGTAGGTCGCCATGGGCGACGGCTTCCAGACAAGGACGTTTCCGGTGAGCGCGGGGGCGCCGACGAGGTTACCGCCGATAGCAGTGAAGCTGCAGAGTACTCGTCAGGTAAGAGTCGTCAAGAAAGGACGAGTTGTACGCACTTGAAGGGGGTAACAGCAAAGACGAAGCCCTCGAGAGGGCGGTACTCGGTGCGGTTCCAGACGCCAGGCGAGTTCTCGGTCGGCTGCATCGCGTAGAGCTGCTCGACCTGAGCGGCGCCGAAGCGGAAGAAGTCGGCGAGCTGGCAGACGAGAAGCGGAAGTTAGCGCTCTATCGCAGCGAAAGACGAGTTCGCGATGCTCACCTCGGCGGCAGCGTCAATCTCAGCCTGCCAGACGTTCTTGCCCTGGCCGAGCATGGTAGCAGCGCAGATCTTGGCGCGGTACTTGCCGCTGATAAGGTCGGCAGCCTGCAAAGAACCGAGTTAGCGATTCGTTCGAGGCGAAGGTAGTCATCTCGCGCGCACCCTCAAGAAGATGGCTGCGCGGTCGTTGAAAGGCATAGCCTCCCACTCGGGCTGAGCAGCGAGTGCAGCCTCGATAGCCTGGCTGGCAAGGTCAGGAGTCGAGGTTCCGAAAGTGCAGAGCGCCTTCTTGTGGTTGTGGGGCATGGGCTGCTCAGTGCGCTCGCCCGAGACCTTTACCTGCACACGTATAGTGGTCAGCCACCATCTCGGCTGCACAGGCGACCGCGATAAGGCGTGCGACGCACCTCCTTGCCGCCAACGAACGCGGGCACCTCGAACGGCGCGGCGGCCTCGAGCTCGGCGAGGGCCTTCTTGAGAGCTGCGCGCTCAGGGCTGCCTGGCGCATAGTTGAAGTTGGGCTCGTTCTTGACGGTGGGGAGCTTGAAGATAGCGTTTGTCGAGACGGACATGGTTGCGGGCTGGAAGAGGCGGGTTTGGATATGGCGCGAGCGTGCGAGGGTCAGCAGTGGTCCTGAGAGAGCTCTGGCTGCTGCTCGTGAGGACATACGGGTGCAAGGGTGTGCGGAAAAGGAAGCGGGAGGAGGGAGAACCGCAAAGTCGCGGCACGGCGGCGAGGCGGCCAAAGCCTGCCTTTGCCGACGATTCCCGCATGCGCTCACCCTCGCCCGTATCGCATACAAGCAGAGTGTGCACAGCGCGTGTCCCGAGGGTATCAAGCTCGAATGGAAGCGAGTCCAGCTGAACCGAATCCTCCAGGTGCCGTCGCTGGCGAGCGATAGTCCTTCGACTGCGAGAAAGACCTCCCTGGCCTCGTCTGAGCCGTCGTGGAGAACCTGATGCGCTCCTCTACCCTTCGACAGACCCGCTGAGTCGCAAAGAAGCCCACAAACCCGCCCTCGAGTCGCCGTGAACGATCCGAGCGAACCGTTCACTCGTCGACTCCCAGCCTCGCGCGTCGGTGCAGCAGCGAAGAAGGCCAGTCTGCAGTCTGGAGATGAGGAACTCACAGTGGGCAGGAAGTAGCGGTGGAAGGAGACGCTGTGGTGGAGGGAGAGCTGTTCGCGAGCGAGAAAGAGGTTCAGGAAACCGTCAACTCAAGCGAGCGAGAGCGCTGTCGCTCCGAGCGGTCCGATGAGGGTGCGAAGTGATGCCAGCGAGAACAGCAGACGCAGCGAAGCAGCCAGCCTGCAGGAGAGCCAAGCAAAGGACGAAGCGAGGCCAAGTCGCGGGTCAACGACACGATGCAGAGTCTCCACGATACAGGCTACGATGTGAGAGGGGAAGAGGATCAACATGATATTCGGATCTGCGGTATTGCGCCAAAGAGCCCAGAAAAGAGGGGTATAAACAACGAAAGAGAGGTGCAAGTTCAGTCGAGAGTGATGCGCGAATCGCCCGTCCCGACGGCCTCGCTCGCGCGCTCGTCGCTGCTCGTAGAGCGTCGTGTTTGTGGTGCCCAGGTGTTGAGCGGGAGCGCGAGCGACATGAGGTAGTCTCCGCCGCCGGCTGCCGGCAGTCGGCGAAGCTGGGACGACGTCGGCGAGCCAGTCCATCCAGCTGCCGAGGCGTCTTCGTCTTCCGAGTCGGACGTCGCGGACGACATGCGCAGGCGGAGGCGGGGGAAGCGGACGCGAATGGCGGGGTGGTGGTCGAGGGTGTGCGTTGCGAGGTAGGTGGGAACGAGGAGAGGCGTTGCGGCGTGTTTGTGCGATGCGAGAGATGCGGGGAGACAAGATGCGAACGAAGGGCGGAGACGCTTGGGCAAGTCGGTGCGGGAGACGGAGGAAGGGAGGTAAGGGTGGTGGAGCTTGACGTGCGTGGTGAAGTGGTCTGCGGCGGTGACGTCGCTCATGGCCGAGACGTGCAAGGCAGGGTAAGGCGTGATGGTGAAGATGTCGGTCTCGCCGGCTAGCGGGGCGCAGGAGTGCAAGGGGACGTCGTCGATCCCGTCCCATCCTGCTTCGGTGTCGAGCGAAGGGATGTGCGGCTCGTCTTCGGCCATCTCGACGTCTTCGGTCGCCTTCTCCTGGCTGCGAGAGGAGCGAACACTTCCGCCGCTCTCGCTCATGGGCGTAAAGTCGGAACGAGTGCGGGAGGTCGCGGCAGCGCTCGTCCACTCAGCGCCGGTCAACGACGAATCGCCCAAGAACGGCCGCGAGGACGAGTAGTCGTCATCGGCCTGAGCGAGGCGGAGCTGCGTACGGCCGAGCGTGTCGCCCGACAGGTCCGAGTAAAAAAGGTCGTTCGCGAAAAAGACGACGCCGGCGTCGTAGATCTTCTTCCGCTTGGGCTTGGAGCCGGCAGAACCACCGTCGCTCGCCGACTCGTCATCCTCGGATGCCGAGTCGTTGCGGCGGACGAAGAGTGGGGTGTACAGGACTCGCTTCGAGGCGCCGTCGTTAGCGGTCGCGCCGAGCGCCTCGACGGCAGGAGCGTCGCCTTCGCTCCGCACGCCGCCGCCGGAAGACGACACCTCCTCGACCGAATGGCGGAGCGAGCTGCTCTTGACCGGCTGAGTAGGCGCCATGCCCTGCTGCAACCGGGCAGGAGCGGAAGCGCCCGTCTCGTGCGACGCAAATGAGCGTTTCTCGCCCCTCGTTCCGCTGTTCGAGCTCGAACCGTTCTTCGATCCGCCAGACGGCATCTGCGAAGTCGGCGCCGTCGACCTGCGCGAGCCCGAAAGGAGCTGGCCGCTGCCGCTGCCAGCCGCATTCTCCCGCGCGCCAGGTCGCTCGTCAAACATCGAGTCGGGTTCGTCGTTATCGTCGCTCGACGCGGTCGAGTTGGAAGGCCTGCTGTGCGCGTCGCGCTTGCGCTCGCGCTCTTCCTCCTCCGCACCCTCAATCCGTGTCGCCTCGATGCTGTTGTCCTCCATATCGCCCATCTGCACGTCCGGTTGATCCGCATCGCCAGGCTGCTTGAGCGGCTTGCTCGAGGGTCCGTGCCAGCGGATCTTTGTCCCGTCGTTACTGACCTCGACCAGCTTGCTCTTCGTGCGAAGGGCATGTCGGACGGTGCCGACGCTGACGTTGAGCCGGTGCAGCGCCGCCATGGTCGAAACGAGGTTGAGGTAGAGCCAGCCGCCGGTCGCGGTAATCTCGTCGGCGGCGAGCATGTTGCGGAGGTACTGCGTGTTGGTGGAAGATTTGGCGGGAAGGGGAATAGGGTCGCTGTTGAGCGGGTTCTGAGGCGGGGTCTGCGGGCCGGCGACGCCCTCGACAGGCAGCGACTCGAAGAAGAGGCGCTCGATAAGCTCGACGATGAGGTCTTCGAGCCGGTCGGGATCCGGCACGCCAGCGCTGCTGCCGACAGAACCCTCCCAGCTACCCGCCTGCTGGAGTCGAGGTCGATCAGGCGTCGTCGCGGCTGCTTCAGGCGAGGCGGCCGGTGTTCGTCGCCGTTTGCGGTTGTGCGGTTCCGAGATGCGGATGCCGCTACCCGTGCCCATGCGCGAGACGGTCTCGATAGGCGGAGCGGAGGGCGCAGCGAGGATATCGCGCTCGGGAGGAAAGATGTCGGTTGGTCGGCGGAGGAGGGGTGGAGGGTCGGGGAGGGCGACGCTGGAGACGGTGCCAAGAGGAGCGACCGAGTTAGGCGCCGCAGAGGTGAGTCGCCGCTTCTTGCGCTTCTCGCCACCAGAACCTGTCCCGTCTCCACTACCCGACCGCTTCCCACTCCCGCTGCCTGATCCAGACCCGCTCCCTCCACTCGTGGAGTTCTCCCGTCTCGCAGCCGGGTCGACGACAACCTGCAACGCCTCCTTTTCCGAGCTTCGCAAGGATCGCAAAGTCGCGCCGAGGGACGAGGTCGATTCGGTGTGGTCGTGCGAGCTGGAGTTGCCGGTCGTGTTGATACGAGAGGAGTCGGTGTAGTCGCCAGAGGTAGAGTTGGAGAAGGATTGGACGTAGTCAGTCAGGAAGGACTCGATCTCTCGTCGTTTCGCTCTGTGGGCGGGAACTGTCAACACCATCGGAGCAGCGGTACGGATCGAGTAGAACGCACTTGGGCAGACCGTCGAAGAAGCGGACTTCGAACAATCGCTCCTTCCGCAGGTTTGTCGGTACTCGAGCCGACTCGAATCGTTTCAGTCGCGCCTTGAGCTTTTGATCTGCGGCCGGCAGGTGGGTCAGCGGACTACCCAGTACCTCCTGAGGATCCGTTACGCACTCTCAAGCGTGAGGTCGTCGACCTGGAGAGAGAAGAGTCAGCCCGTAGGTCAGGAGAGAAGGCAGCGAGAAACGCACGATATCCCGAAAGCTCTCCTCCGAGACGAAAGCGCCGCCGTCAAACTGCTCGCCGTTGCGCGTGCTCAGACCCGACCGCGTACTCCCGCCTCGACTGTAGCTCGCCACTTCCTGCGCCTCGTGTATTGGCACGAGTGGCGAGCCTGGCGGGTTCCCTCCGAGCGAGTCGGTCTCGCAGAGAAACGAGGGTTCTCCGTCAAGGAGTTCGTCGTCGGAAGAAGGGAGCGGGATGCCCAGCGCGCCTAGCCGGCGAGTGGTCGACGAGACGGTGCCGGGGTTGACTGAGCTGCCCACATGTCGCGAGGGGCCGGACGAGGACGACTGGGGTGCGTTTGTAGGCTGCTGGAGAAGCACGGCGCGCACGCACGGGCACACGAAGGGCGTGGTGAACGACGATTCGCGCGGGAGAGATGAAGTTGGCCAGCTCACCGAAGTGTGCATCGCTGGCCGTGGCAGGCTCGACGCGCTCGAGTCGCTCGGTGCGACGTCTGCTGCACGCGCCTTGCCCCTGCTGTCCCTGTCCTGCGCCGCCCCGCCGACGGTGTCGAGCCTGACCCGCTCGATGGCCGGGTGGAGGACTCGCTTCCCGGACGACGACGAGCCATCGTAGCCGCCTGAGGACGGCATCGCCGTGGTGTGCCAATCAGCTGTGTCTGTAGCCTCAGTCAAGCAGCGCAGCCAGGCGAGAGCGAGCGTGAGGAGCGGAACCCCTTGAACAGGCGAGCGAACGGGCGGCGAAGAACGTCAGGGGTCGGCCATTTTCCTTCTCTCGAGCAGAGCAGCGTGGAGCCAGCGCGGTGACGCAGACACGACAAGAACACTTGCAGCAACGGTCTGGCGAAGCAAGGCGGCGTCTAAAGACAGGGCAAGCCTGAGGCGAGTCTTCTTGCTTGCTTTTGCTTGCTTGTTGTTGCTTGAACTCCTCCTTATGTCGTCTGCTCGATGCGAGGCGATGATGAGCCTTGCAATACTGTACGCCTACTTGCTCGCCTCCTCGTAGTGCCGCTTGAACACCCGCGTAGAAAACTGGCCGAACGTCTCGCCGTCTTCTGCGACAACCTCGTTGTGGTTGGGCTGGTGCAGGCGAGGAACAAGATGGAGTCAGCGCCGCGATCTGTCTCGAGAGTCTGATTGAACCGACAGTCACAAGCGGTCCTGCACGCACCTGCAAGAACACCGCCAGCGTCTCCCTGCTCACCGTCCCGCTCTCGACCTTCCCCCAAGTCTCCGGCTCCTCTTCCTTCTTCCGCTCGATCGCCTCCAGCGCGTTCCGTCCCAGCGTCGCAGCCGTCGCATTCACGAAATGCGGCGTCGCGGCGAGTCGTCGCGAGGTGAGGAGCTCGACCGTCTCGCCTGTCTGGAGGGCGACGCAGTTCTCGGGAATGGTCGCTTGGACGACCTTGCCCGCTCGAGTCTTGATGAAGAGACCGGTGGAGCGAGAGGGCGACGGGATGACGAGCGGGTCGAGCGGGGCGGTAGAGGAAGACGAGGCGCGGGGGGTCGGGTGGAAGAGGTACATCGACGGGCAGAGGACGGTCAGGAGTGAGTGGTCGATGTGCGTGCCGCACCACGAGTCGTCGACCTCGTCGACATTGAGGGCGGCGTCTTCGACCGAGGACGAAGGAGGGAGGGAAAACGGTTCGCCTTCTCGCGGGAACTGTACGATGGCGAGTCAGTCAGTTCAGCCCTAGCCGGAGCGCCAAGGGTTGTGTACGCACGTAGTGAAGCAACCGAGCCTTGGACGAGTGGCTCTCCCGGACGAGCTGCTCGACCGTTTTCTTCGACGCCGTCTTGCCGACAAACTGGTCACACGCTGCACCGACCAGCTCACCAATCTTGACCATCAGCGCGCAGAGCTCCTTGAACGCGACTGTGCACACGACGGTGCTCCCGCGTCTTGTCAGCTCTTCATGCGAGAGCGAGACGAGAGAACCGTATCGCTGCTCACCCTCAAAGTCCTCGACGCCCTTCTCCTCCGGCCAGATATTCCGCACTGCCTCGTCACCCTCATGCAAGCCCGGCGTGATATCCTGGCTCGGGTTGTTATAGAAAGACCCCTTCAACCTGTCCGGCCGGCCGTTGTGGATCTCCTTGCCGTGCGACCATCCATAACTGTAGTTCGACTGCGGGTGCGCATACTTCTCGCGCGTTTCTTCAGGCAACGAAGCGAATGCGTTCGAGAGGAGGAGCAGGCGGCGACGGAGGTGAGGGAACGAAGGGGGGAGGTCGGAGATGATGATCAGGCCGAGGGATTCGGGAGACGAGTCGAAGCCCTTCTTGATGAGCTCGGGGAGGGAGGCGTCGCCTGCTACGAGCGCTGGGTAAGGGATCGTGACCGGCGAGATGGAAGGCGAGTCGGACATGGTCGAGGAGCGCAGCGGCGGCGTATGTGGACGGCGGGTGGCTCGGCCGGGGCGCGTGAGGCCTTCTACGAGCCGCTGAGCAAGTCCAAGCGGCGCACGAGCGAAGCGAGCGGCTGGACGAAGCGGAAGAAAGGTGAGCGGGCGGTGGTGCGGACCACGCGGCGTCGGACGAAGGCAGAAAAGCTGCAGACGGTTCAGAGAAGACGAGAGAGTGCACACTGCGAGTTACTGATGGTCTAGGACAGACGAGGAACAGAGGTACGAAAAAGTCTAGAGAAAGGACAACGACAACACGGCTCGGAAAGAACGAAACGACACGAACGCCTCACTCCTGCTGCAGCAACGCCTCGACGGTACGCTCGCGGCACCGCTTGAGGAACGTGACGAGGTCTGTCCCTCCCGTTCCCGCAATCGCCTCCCTCTTCGCGCCCTCGACCAGGCCCAACCTCCTGCGCTCCTCCTTCTCCGCCTCTTTCTTAACGCGCTTGGCCTCCCACTCGGCCCAGTGCACCGACTCGCGCGCAGGCTCCCTCCTCGCCTGCTGCACGATGAAGACCGTCGCAAGCCGCATGTGCTGGTCCCTGAAGCGCTTCATCGCCGCGACGGCGCCGTCGTACGCCTGTCCGAGTTCGGCCGGATGGCGCTTGGCGAGCTTGCGAAGGGAGGGGAGAACGGGCGCGTTGGGTGCGGACGGGTTCGGGTGGTGCAGCGACTCGAGGTGCCGGAGGAAAGCGCGGTGGTGGCCTGGCATGTAGTGCGACATGCGCTGCATGAAGGTCTCATCCGAGGGCGCTTTGTGCAGAGCGGCTTTGTCGACGACGATGGCGGGAGGAGCGGGCTTGGAGGACGAGGCGGCGGTCGGAGAAGGCGGCTCGACAAAGGTGTTGGGGAAGCCTTGCGATTCGTGGCCGTTCGCTTTGTCTGCACTCGACTGCGCGTGACCGTGACGAGGCGCGTGGTCGACGCCGAGGAAGACGTCGAGCGCATGGACGAGACTCGACTGTCCGGCCGACGGTCCTCCCCATTCCATCACCTTGTCCTCTCCGTTCTTGCCGACTCCCTCAAACGTCCACTTTCCACCGTTGAACCACGGCCTGATCTCCCAGTAGAACGCCTCGGGCGAGATGCGCTCCCTCCCCTCGGGACCGAACGGACCGCGGGTCGCGCCAGCCATGAGAGCCGTCAACTCGTCGATGAGAGCCGAGATCGAGTTTAGGTAGGTCGCGATACGGGCGAGAGCGATCGAGTCGGCGAAGAAAGACTCGTCGAGGGTCGACGACATGAGGCGGAGGATTGACGGGCCGTGGAGCTCGCAGAAGAGCGAGAGGAGGAAGAAGGCGCGCTCGGAGGGCGTCGAGGTGAAGGTCGTCGTGATCTCGAGGTTGTCGGCGCGGAGGCCGAGCGACTTGTCGGTCATTTTCCAGGTCCACAAGACGGTGTCGGCGTAAGTAAGGATGGGCGGGAGGCCGAGGCGGTCGCTGACTTCAACGAGGGGAGCGGCGATGGATGCGCAGACGACAGTCTGGGAAGGGAAAGTCGAGTGCATGTAGAAGTGCTCGATGTGGGCGAGGAGCGTGTGCGCGCGGCGGATCATCGGCAGCGTCGCCAGGACGTCGACCGAGGCGCGGGGGAGCTGTGGAAAAGATGGCACATTAGCGGGAGCTTGCACAAGCCGTCGAGAGCTCGGAACCGGACTCACCCTGCGCACGCTCTCCCGCCATCCTTCGCTGAGCTTGCCGACACCTCCGCCCGGCATGCTCGCTGCCTCCTCCTGCGCCCGCTCGAGCGCATTCTCCACCTCGTCCCATCCGTGTCCAACCCCTCGCAGCGTCTGCACAGGCTCCTCGGGCGGCAAAAACCCTGTTGCGACCGAGACGTCGTAGTCTGCAGCGGCAAGCGACGAAGTGTCTGGCCTCGCGCGGTCGGCCCAGTTGGCCTCGTCGATGACCGACTCGGGACGGGGCGGAGTGACGGGTCGCTGGGCGAGGAAGTGGTCCGATGGGAGGGTCGAGAGGTCGAGCGGCTTGGACTCGTCTTCGAAGATGGGGAAGGGGACGCGCCGCGCTGCCGGTCGGGACGAGGTGGCTGCCATGGCGTCTTGTTCGCGTGTGTGCCGGTCAGGCGGTCAAGAGCAGCCTGGCGAGGGAGGGAGAGCCGTGCGATGCTGACAGAGATGAGGCGATGGGAGTTCGGCGTCGGGATGAAGCGGGACAAGCGGGCAGCGGCTTGGCTGGCTGAGCGTGCGGCAGTGGTCCTGATCAAGCCAGATCTCGACGAATCGAACCAGCACAAGCAGAGCAAAGTGTGAGGGCGAGCCAGTCCAAGGTTGGCCACCGCGAAGCCGGAGGTCCACATCGAAATCCTTTGCCAGCGCGAGATTGCGAAAGGGAGGCATCGATACAGGGGCAGGGAGTTACAGTGCACTCGGGCGTGTCGGGTCATGCCTTTTCCGCGAGCGGATTCGCGTGGATCTCGACCTGCGGGTGAGGAAGCGGTCGTGTGAGCGCTCGAGCCCAGGTGCAGACGAGAGCAGTCGCCGTAGGGCTGGCTCCGTCTGGGCAGGACGACCCGACTCACCCGCTCAATCTTGATTGGCTGCAGCGGCCGCATCTTGTCGTTGACGGGCACCTTTTCCTGTTGGAACAGAGGGAGTATCAGCTTGCGACGTCTGGTCGGACGGGCGACAGAGCGCTCGCACCATCGCGTCTAGTGTCGTGTCTGTGCCGTCAATTACCCTGGAAGCGGGCGGGGTACGCGGAGAGGGTGTCAGTACAAGCAGACGGATTGCAGTCAGATGGTGCGGCTTACCGCCCGAAGATCGAGTACTTGGTATCCAGGTGAGGCTGCTTGGCGTCTGTAGCAATTCCGCGACGCACTGCGTCAGCGTCTGAAGCGAGAGGACGCAGCCCGAGAAGAGCGCCGGCTCAGATGAAGCGGGACGAACAGGTGATGAAGAATTGCGATCTGCGGGACGGAGTGATGCTGTCAGCCTCTGTGTGGGAAGGATGAGCTGTGCAGAGGCGACCCACTTGTTCGTATCGGGTCCCGAGTTGGCCATCGCCACGATCCCTCGCTGGTTGAACTGGATTGCGCAAGCAATGTCAACTTCCCGAATGCTGGGATCGAGTCGTCTGCCCTGCTCTGCAGAGAGAATTTGACGACCTCGTGAGCGCAGGAGAAGCGGAACGCACCTTGAGCGTACTCCGCACCTCGTCGGGGAATGGTCGTCCCCAGATCGACTGCCCGCCCTTGCCCGTCCCCGTCGGGTCTCCCGTCTGAATCATGAATCCTTTGATATTCCTGTGAGAGCGAAAGGTTCGTCCATAAGCGGGTTGGACGGACTTGAGTTGAGTTGAGGAGGAGACGGACCGGTGGAAGAGGCAGCCATCGTACTGCCCGCTTGCCGCCAGCGCCAGGAAGTTCTGCTCGAAAGAACCTCTCCCTGTATCAGCTGCAAGCACTTCATGGCGCTTCAAGCTGAGAGACCGCATCTCGACGAACCTCTGCACACTTCGGTACCGCCTCGCAGAACACCTCAATCTGCGCAGACGCCGAGTCAGCCAGCTTCTCTGAAGCCAGGGACAGCAGTACACGCACCTTGAGCTCGCCGTGTGTCGTGTGCAGCGTGACAGACTGCTCGAGGCGAGAGGCGATGAGCGGAGGTGAGGGCGGCGAGGAAGCGTTGTGGAGCGCACCATGGTCTCGCAGGCGTCTCAGTAGGTCAAGAGAAGCAAGTCGAAAGTTCAACGAAGCGAGCAGCGCGGAGCGACGAGTTGTTTGAAGACGAACCGCTCAATGCATGCATCTCTCGCTCGACGACGACTCACGCTCTCGCTCTGAACGCTTACAGAACAGCTCATTCGGCTTTTCGGGATTGTTCAGAGCTACCGCCGAAGCGACGCGGCGGCCCCAGCTTGACGGGGACTCTCCAGACCCTCCTCGCCTCATCCGTCAACATGTCCCTCGATCTCGCCGACTTCGACCCGCTGGGCGATAAGACTGAGCTGAGGGATGCTTCGAATGGCTCTGTGAGTCCGCGTGCCCCGACCGACACGAATGAAGCGCTGACTGATGGTTACGCACCCTCAGGACGTACCCGACTCTCCCTTCTCGGCCGGTCTTCATGGCACCTCTCTTCCGCCAAGCGACCCCACCTCGCCGGCGCCTTCACACTTACGTAGCGACGTCGACCTGCTCATCGACTTCGCCTCGAGCCCGCCGAAACCCGCCTCGACACCCTCACTTGTTCTCCCTGCGAACGAAAGCGCTTCGCCGGAGACGACTTCGCCGCCGTTTGTCCCTGCTCAACGACAGACGACTCTCCTCGATGACTCGTTTGACGGTTTCGACCCGACGAGCGTTGCCAACACGCCCTTTGCCAGTCTTTCTCCCCCTCCGACCGTCCGCCGCGTTCAACCCCCTCCCGCAGAAGCTGAGGAGCAGCCCCGACCAGCTGCAACGCGCCCTATCGGCCGAAGATGGAGTGTGATGAATCGGTTGCAGGCCGAGAAGCGGAGGACGAGCGGAAAGGGCTTGTCGCCGGTCAAGGATTGCAGTCCACTGAAAGAGGGTGCGCGCTTTACCCTTTCGAGCACATTCCGCTCTCGCTGACACTTGGCTCACAGGCGACTCGTCGATGTTCCTCTCACCGCAGCACCTCGGCGCAGCCGACATGTCGCTCATCGCGGACGAAGGCGGCTCGTTCCTCCTGCACGAGGCGAACGAGACGACGCTCGACAGGAGCGCGATGTCGGAGATCTGCGAAGAATCGGAAGAGCCCAGCGAAGGCATGTCGACTCTGCTGCGCGGGCTCGGCGAGTCAACGATTGGTTCGGCGCGCTTTCCCAGCTCAAAGTCGACTCCGGCGCTGTCGACGATCTTTTCGGCGGGTGCTTCTCCGCATTTGCTCTCTCGCTCAACCGGACCCTCTCAGAGCGCCTCGCGTGCCCCGCCGGAACCCAGCTTTGCGCTCGACGACCCTTCTCCCGCCGACGCAACCTTCCTCAACAGCTCGACCGCCTCGTTCAAAGAGTACCGCGACTCGCCGGTCAAGTCTCGCGTCGTCAGCATCCAAGCCGAGCACTGGATCGCGGAGGAGGACGAGATTGAGGATGACGGCAAGACGCCTCGTCCGCCGGTCAGGAGGTTTGGCCGCGAGTCTGGCGCCAGCGACACGAGCAGCGGGATCGAGGAAGGGCCGTCGAGCTCTTCGTTCGACTTTACGCGGTGGCAGACGGGCGAGGTCGGGACGGGCATGTGGGTCCTCGCGTTTCCAGCGTCGAGATGAACCGGCTGATCGTCGCTCTGCAGCCTCAACCAGAGTCCGCCTACCGCCGCGTTACTCGCCGAGTCGACGCGTACGGTCGAGCTCGCTCGGTCTACCGCGCGTACCGCCTCTCCGCCCGACTCGCCCGTTTCCGCCCTCGCCAGCTCGACGCGGACGGTCGTTCCGGAGACGAGCCACGTGGTCGCATCGCAGCCGTTGGCGCCTGCTACGACGCCTGCTCGTATGGCGACCAGCGAGACAGGTGCAGAACGTCTGAAGCGGCGAATGGAGGAGCTGCGGGCGCAGAAGAAGGCGGGCGCTCCCTCGGCTGCGCCTGGAAAGCCGCTCGCCGCCGCGGCGACACCTGGAAGGCGGCTATCGCTTCGTCCGCCGGTAGCCGCCGCGCCTCGACCCGCTCAAATGGCTCGGCCTCGCCTCTCCACTCTTCCCTCCAATACTCCCGCTCGCTCTCGTCTCGCTGGTCCCTCCAGTGCGCCGCTTGAGCCGCCCAAGACGCCGGGGGAGCGAAAAGAATCAACCGCCGCCCGACTCGACCGCCTGCGCTCGGAGCGGAAACAGCGGGAGGATGCGCGGGCGAAGAGCCCCGAGAAGCCTGCAGTCGGCTTGAAGCGCACGTCGAGCTTGGTGGCCACGGGGACAAGGGCGCCGGCTGGATCGGCGCCACTCGCAAGGAAGAGCGTCGCCGACTTGCGGGCCGCTCGAACTGCCTCAACTTCCGCTCCAGTCGCCGCCAAGCCTCCCGCTCGGCGTCCGTCGACTCTGCCAGCTCCCTCTCATCCCATCAGTCGTCCTTCGCTTGCGCCCTCCACATCTCGCCAGTCTCATGCGCCCGCATCATCTCGCCTGTCTCTCGCACCATCGACCTCGCGGACCTCTCTCGCTCCCTCATCCTCGCTCGCCTCTTCGACGTCGTCAACATCGTCGAACGTCTCCGTGACGGCCCGTACGTCACCTCGCAAGTCGGCAATCGCACGTCCGTCCCTCCAGCCCGGTGCGACCGGTCTAAAGCGACCATCTCTCGCCAAACCGGCTTTTTCGGCCGTTCCACTGCCTCGCGCTCGTCAACCGCTGGGCCAGACACAGCCTGCGGCGTCGAGTGCGGCTCCGCAGCCGTTGAAGCCGCGAATGAGCAGGATTGGGTTGGGAAGGCCGGGGTGAGCGGGTCGTGGCTATGTAGATGGACACTTTTCTCTGGATCGAAGCGGGTCTTCACGTTGCAGTGGAGCGGATCAAGCTCCGGCGCTTGCAGAGCGGCTAGAGCGGGTCTAGGGCGGAAGGTTCAGGCGAGAACAAGGGATTTGGCTCTCCAACCTCTTCCCGTTCGAAGATCTGGGTGGAGAACAGCTTTCTCCGTTCAGAGGATCTGGGCACTCTTGCAGTAGTTTCCAAGAAGAGACTGGTGAAGAAAGCAGTGCAGAGAAGGGTCGAACAGACCAGTCCATTGAGCCGAGTCCTACAACCTCCCTCTTCAGCCGTCGCGTCCACCCGCCTCACCACCACCTCCACCCTCGCCTCGCGCCACCGCATCCCCGATGAGCACCTTGTATGCGGTCGTCTTGCCGCGCTCGACCTTGCAGCGCTTGTGGGCGAGGGTCGTCGTGCCTTTGTCGGCCGCGCGGGAGGCAAGTGAAAGATTGTTCTTCTGCATGGGATCAATCAATCAGTCGGCGTAATCAGAGTGGAGGAGGCCGAGAAAAACGAGGACGCACCTGCTCGAAATCGTAGGCGCATCCGAGCAAGCTGTAGCCCCATCCGTCTCCTCCAATTTGGCCGTAGACCACCTGCTGCAGCGTCGCTACGTCTGCCACCACACGCGCGGCTGAGAGCGTGGTCCAGGAGAGTGTCCTCCTTCGATCCTCCTCATCCTCCCGACTCCGCGTCGGCTGGTACTCCTTCATCGCAAAGGTTGCGCGCCCGCAGCTTGCGCAGGTTCCGCCGTTGACGAGCAAGTCGAAGAGGATGGCGACCTTGGTAATGTCGTCATGCATCGTCGCGCTGTAAAAGGACTGCAGGGAGGGGAGCGCGGGAGTGTGAATGCTTGACTTGGGAGAAGACAGCGAGTGGGGACGTACATCGGCATCCGTGTGCTGCAGGAGCCCGAGGAGCGCGCCCTTGTACTGTTGTTCGAGTAGCGAGAGCAAAACCTTTGAGCGGAAGCCTTGTCAGCACGATATTTGAAGACAAGTTGAAGCTTTCACGCACTTCGAGACGTCCGGCCTGCGCCTCGTCGTCCAGCGCAAGCGCCATCTTGTGGATCATGACCGGGATGAGAGGGGCGAAAAGGGCGGGGCGCGGCGAAAGTGCCGCGAGGGAGAGCGACGTAGCCATGAAGGTGTGTATGTCCTGCGCCTGCTGATTGTCGATGAGGTTCTCAGACGTGAGGAGCCGGAGGAAGTACTGTGAAGGGGAGAGACAACATCAAGAACACTGTGCATCACGTAAAGTGCGGGACGTAGCGCACGTTGAGGAGGAAAAAGGCATCTAACGCATTGCGACCGGTGTAGTGTTGGCCGAAGCCCTTTGATGCCGTCGGTCGATGGATTGCCTGTTTGAGGAGCGACCGGACTTGCAGGAAGAGGGCCGGGTCAAGCGAGTCGAGGAAGTCGTTTAGGTGGTCTGCCTGAGACGATATTGTCGCGAAAGGCTGCCAAGGCTGGTTCAAGTCGGCGAGGTTGCGGTGATCCTCAGCGGCCGTGTCGCTGGCACCGGACGGAGGTGTGACCGGTGGTCGAAGGTGGGAGAAGTCGTAAGGAAGCTTTGAAGTGTGAAATGCTCGTCAGCGCTCGGTATGCCCAAGTCTTAGTCTCCTCGTGTTGAGCGAAAGAAGAATGCTCACTTCTTCCATCTCAGCAGCTCCAGTCGCTTGTCGTAGCTGAGTTTGGATGACGAGAAGGCCACAATGCGAGACCAACCTTGAGCTGAATCGACCACCGGCGTTGTTTTGACCGCGTGTTGCGCCGTGGATAAGGTCATCACGTTCCGCTGCCCATTGATTGGGTCAGTAGAGCAGACAGAACGAGCAGGAAGCGAGCGGCGCACGTCGAGTCCAGTCTTGCTCGCCTTCGTCAAAGCGGCGCATGGGCGGCTGGCGAGCCGCATAGTGAACGATGGGCGAAGCGATCTTGTCGGAGAGGTAGTCGAGGATTGACTGGAGAAGCAGCAGTGTGAGTCGCAGCACTCAACCCGAGTGAGGCGCGAACGCACGGTGGCTTGCTGGGCTACGCTGCCGTTCTCAGCCTCGCACCGCCAGACTTGATCCTTGTCGTGCATGGGAGCGAGTTTCGGAGCGAGGCGAGCTTGAGAGGCGAGGTTGAAAAGTCCCGTCATATTGGCGAGGTTCTTGCCGTCCTCGATAGCAACGGAAGCGTCGTTCGGTCGCGTCGTCGCTTTGCGGATAGCGCTCTGTTGCCGTCACTCGAGGTCAGCGTTGTACTCCCTCGCTTTCAGCAGCAGCTACTCACGAGACCTGGCCGCTCAGAGTTGATCTCGACCTTCCAGCTTCGCTCGTTTGACGACGAAGCGTGCGCATTGCGGTGAATGGCGTCAAGCTGCAGAGAGGAGGGCTGAGTTCTGAGTGTGGAGGAGAGAAGAGAAAGGACGGACTCTGGGCTTCGCCTTTCGCTTCCACCACTCCTGCACGAACGGTTTCCACACAAGGATATTAACGCTCGAGTTCTGATAGAACGGCGATACGGCGTCTTGTCCCGCTTCGAGAGCGAGTCCAGTCGTGATTGGCGGGTGCCCATCGACTTCGTACTTGGCTGCGAGGTGCGCCGCTCGCAGAGCCGCTGCAAACGCCGGCGTCTTTTCGATGTTGAGTTCGAACCCCGTCACTTCGCCTCGCAGACCCGCCTCGGCCTCGAACTGCTCGAGCAAGTCGTCGAATGCCGTGTCGAGCATGAAGATTGGTATGGTGTAGGCGGGATGGCAGGAGACAGCTTCGGGGCTGCGGTTGACAGGGTCGGCTTGTTCCGCATCGCGGAATGCAACCTCAGGCTGGCTAACAACCACGCGGTCGACCGCTTCTTGCAGCGACAGGCTGAGGTCCCGTCTGGCGATGAAGCGCCAGTCGGCAGATTTGCCCGTATCGCCCTCTCGCGAGGCAAGGCGGGGTAGGACGCGCTCGAGGGCGAGGACAAGATCGGGACGCCGCGGCTGGATCTTGAGGAAGAGCGCGTCCCAGTCGAGATAGGCGCCGTTGCGCATTCCGCGCCTAGCGGCGTTATTCTGACCCGCAACCGGCGTGATATACGCGCTGAACTGCTGCGCAAGAATGAGCGCAGAAGTTGAAAGCCGCCGGTCGAGGAGCTTGATCTGCTCCGAGATCGGCAAGGCGTCCTTCTCGTTATGCGAGAGGAGCACGGTTGCCGACTTGTCGAAGTGATCTAGAAGCGACCGCGCGGTGGACTTGCTCGCCGCTATGTCGAGTGACTCGTTGTAGAAGGTCGAGATGACGACGCAGGCGGCGAGAATGTTGTCGAGTTCGGGAGGCGCGAGAGGATGCCTGGGACCGATGCGAAGTCGGGCTTGCTGTTCAGGTGAGAGGCGAACCGAGCCTGGGTTTGACTTGCCAGGAGGCGTAGGGCGAGGCGGTGGCGTCACCAACTTGGTCAAGAGTGAGTCGACGAGGTCACAGGCTTGAGCGACAGACATGGCGCCGTGAGCGGGAACGAACTTTGCCGCGGACTCGTCACCTGCTCCGCCGACGAGAACAGTCACGCAAGACGCAAGCTCTTTCTCCGCCTCCTTCCGCAAACCTTGCACACCGTCGGTATCAGGCAGACCCGACGACGAACGAGTCAGGTTCACCTCGATTGGCGTGCCGTCCGGATCCTCCACAGCGACGAAGACCGAGGCGAGCGGAACGTCGACTGAGCTAGACGCTGAACCGACGAAAAAGGTCAGCCAAACATTTACGAGGCGGAGAAGACGGGACGACTCACGCGACGGAGGGCGAGGCGACGGGATCCTCGGGCTTGACGGTCGCATCTCGACGACGGGCGACGGGCGAAGCGGGACGTAAAGACGACCATCGGACGAGCGGAGAAGCTCTTCGTGGGCAGCGTGGCGAACAGCTTCAGGGAGGCGAATGTTCAAGAGGGCGCCGAGAAGGACATCCGAGGATTCAGACGTGACAGCCTCTGGTGCAGTCGCCGCAAGGAAGTCGCTTCTGCCAATGTCGAGCGTCGAACTCGGGTCCGGAGAGCTGCCCGTGTTCTGGTACTCGATCCGCCTTGACGAGTCGGCGGCGCTCGGCGTGGCGGACGTCGTCGGCAAGTCGGCTAGCGGGCTTGTCGGAGCCCTCGCTTTGCCTGCCTGCTTCGCCGACTTCTTCTGCCGCGTCGGCTTCTTCTGCGGCGTTGTCCGCCTCCCCGCCTTCGTCGCCGGCTTGGGCGTCGCGGGTTCCGCCAATAAATCATCGTTTGAGGCGACTGCGACAGCCTCGCCCTCGTCGCTGACGCGGCAACGCTTCTTCGGATGGGACCTTACAGGCGGAGGCGGCGGTCGAGTTGAGGAAGACTTGGGAGTAGGTCGAGCCGAGGACGTGCTGGGTCCGTAGCGTCCCAGGCCATTCTCGCGGTCGAACAGGTCGCCCGCTGCCTCGCAAATTCGGTCCGACTCGGCGACGGCGTCCTCCGCGTTCGTGTCAAACTCGCGTCGTTGAATCGCCAATGCGCAAGCATCCGACATGACCCTTTTCCTCGCAATGCCAACGGATCCCGTCAGAGGCCTGTCGTCACGGAGCTCGCCGCTGTAGATCCATGTATGGGTGGGCGCGGAGCCGGTCGCAGGGACGGAGGGAGGAGGCGACGCCGACGCGGAAGGAGGCGACTTTGTGGATGAAGAGGCGGTAGGCGCGGGAGTACCGCTTGCAGAAGGAGAGAGAGCGGCGAAATAGGGTTCAGTCGACGCGGAGGGGCGAGGAGAGTCGGCAGGCGGGACGTTCGACGAGGGGACAGGCGCGGTGTGGACGGTGGGAGATGTCGAGGCGGAGAACTGCGCGAAGATCGCGTCGCCCGGCTTGATCGGGACTGGCTTGCGTGCAGGAGCGGGCAAGGAGACCTCGGTCGTGCCGGGAGAGGTCGAGAGCGCCAAGAAGGGCTTTGAGCTGCCCGCCGCCTGTCCAGCCGACGCCGACGCCGCCGCGTCACCGCTCGACGCCGGTCCACCCCCGCCGCGCAGGCGCAGCAGCAGGTGCAGCGTGGCATCACGCGCGACGCAGTACTCGGCGAGGGTGCGGGCGTCCTCCAGCTGCTTGCCGCCGAACAAGAGGCGCTGCTGGTCAGGCGGGATGCCCTCCTTGTCCTGGATTGCGAGCTTGACGGTATAGATCTTGTCGGACAGCTCAACCTCGAGCGTAACCTACGAGCGGGGGCGTAAGTGAGCAGAGGGGAAACTGGAGAGCGAGCGCAGAACGTATCGTCTTGCCTGTCAACGTCTTGACAAGAATCTGTACGCGTCCACAGGGCTTCTCAGCAAGTCAAGAAGCTGCGAGTTCCCCTGGTGGACGGCCATCCTCGAGCGGCTTGTCGGAGAGGATGAGGCGCGGGCGGTTGGGCGGCACGACCTTCTCCTTCTGGGTCTCTGCCTGGAAGTTGTCGTTCGTGTTGGGGAGCTTGTTGTCGCGGTTGTTCTGCGAAGGAAGCGAAACGTAAACGATGGAAGGCGAGGTCACGGCGGCGAAGAACGGAAACGCACCGTCTCGCTCGTCACTGTCGCAACTTCGACCTGAACGGGAGGCGTCGGCACCGTCGCGTCTTCGAAAGGGACCGCTTCGTCACCCTCAGCGCCGCTCGACGCCTTCTCCTTCTCGCCGACGACTTCCTTTGCAACCACCTCGACCTTCCTAACCCTCCCTCTGCCCAATCCGCCAACGACGCCGTCAACAGTCGCGTCAGCAAACCCCCTTGACGCTCCACCGGCCGCTCCGCCCTCGCTCTCCTCCTGCTTCGCCCTCCTCGCCATCGACGCCACCCTCCTCGTCTCGGTCTCCAGCTTCCTCTTCTCCTTCGCTCGCTCACGCCGCCTCAACGCCTGAGCACGCTTGTAGGCGCGTGAGGGAGAGCCGGTACTGTAGTTGAGAGGGGAGGAGATGAAGAGCGAGACGAATGCGCGGGTGTAGATCAGCGGATGAGGGAGGCTGTCGAGGTCACGGTTAGCTGGGCTCGCTGAGGGACTAGGGCTGCACATACAGGTTGCGCTTCGAGCAGGCTAGGGAGCAGGGGAGCGAATTGGATCGTCAGCTGCGAAGGCGAGCGGAGAGCGGAAGTCGACTCACTTGCGGCCGCTCGCCTCTGTTCCCTAAAGCTTCTGCCTATCACAGTCGGTTCGTTCAGCTTCGCCGACTCGACTACCGCGCCCTCCTTCGACATGCCCCTCGGGGTCCTCCGCCGACTCGCCGCCACCGTTGGGTCACTGAGCGGAATCGCAGAGCGGTCGTGCGTGTTTGCGTTGGGTGAGGTGGAAGATGGCAGGTTGACGATCAACGAGACGTCGGCAGCCTCACCGAGCAAGTCGCCCGGCTTGGTGGTCGCCTCGAGCGTGTGAGGGGAAAGCGGGACGAGACGACGGAGGGGAGGGAGGGGAAGCGATGCGGGGTACGAAGAGAGGGTGCTGGACTGCTGGAAAAGCTGTGTATGTGCCGTAGCTGTCATCTCGCTGTAGGAAGGACGAGGTGAGGAGCGAGAGAGGAGGTCGCCTCGAGGTCGATCAAGGTTGACATCGGACCACGACTGCAAGTCATCCCGATGCTGCTGCTAGAGGCGCACAGATACGCTTTTCTGTCAGCTACACCAGCCATGCCCTCTCACCACCGCTCCAACCGCTCTCCCTCAACTCGCCCATCCTCATCAGCCAGACTGCCTCCGCACCCTCTCCCGCCTTCGCATCGCCTCCAGCCGCGCCTCCTTTCACGCCAGCTGAACAAGCACCCCGTGCACGCGATGGAGCAGAAGACGCACATCAAGCAGAGGCGAGGGGGACGCGCAACGGCCGGTCGACGGGGGTTGGGGCGAGGAGGATGGATTCGGGCTCGTCAGCGTTCATTCGGGAGAGGCGAGGGATGCGGCGGACTTACGTGGGATCAGGTGCGTCCACTGCCGTGTCTTGATTAGCGCTTGTAGACGCTCCAGTTGAGGTAACGCGAGTTCGGCCTCCTCACCCACATGCAAGTCCGCGGACCCTCCGACGAGGACAAGCGAGCTTCGAGCGAGCGAGTAGCTGGCTTGTAGAGATGCGTCGAGGCGGAGATCGAAGCCGGCAGAGGGAGATAGAGCGTTTGTATCAAGCGAGCGTTCCTGAGCGCGACGCCAACCTCGTTCCAGCATCGCCGGGCGAGCGAACGAGGCTCAGCGGGCATCGAGCGGGACAGCAACAGGTCCATCCGTAGTGCAGGAGCGTAAAAGAAGCGAGAGTTCGAGCACCAGGGTCGCCGAAATCAAGCCGCAAGGGAGACGGTCTTGAGTTCTGCAACTCGCTGAAGCGGCGAGATCCCAGGACTCCTCGTCAAGCGAGCAACCTGTCAGCGTGGCGCGCGTCTGGGGTCGACAAGAGATGCGCTGGAAAGACGACCATGCCTTCGCCAGACAGTCGCGAGCAAAGCGAGGGGGTAGTCCTACGGACCAAATCGAGCTTCAGTTCGGCGTCCGCTGTAGACTCGGGCAGGCGCCCATCCAAAGGAGAGCTGATCGCACCATCTTCAAGCGAGTGGTGCTGCGCACATGCGGAAGCCGTATGGCGAGCCGGCCCCAGCGGCACAATGACCAAGCGCGGGCGGAAGGAAAGGTTAGGTATGCGTGAGGTGCGAGCCAAATGCCGGTGAGCAACTTGAGATGGGTGCAGCGCTCGTTATATTTGAGGCGCCAAACCGCGAGATCCAGGCGAGCCCAAGCCGGCACGACGACAAAGAAAGACGTAAAGCGGGCGAAGCGAGTCCTCGGCGGATGCTTTGCGAGTCGATGATCAGGTAGACGCGTGGTACGCGGCGGAATCTCGGGTTCCAGCAAAGAGAAACCTGGGAATAGCGGACGATGGTCAGTTTCGGCGGAAGGAGGTTCGGGCGGAACAGAACGCACCTGTATGAGCTACTGGAGGTTGTGCGAGGTCCTGCGGGCATCTGGAAGGTCAGCTTCAGCTGTTGCTGAGCGAGAACGGCCATAAGTCGGGTGCTGTCCCTCGCTGGCTGGCGAGCCAGGAAGGCCCGCCCCCTCGTTTTGTTCCCATCTCGTCTCCCACGCAACCTGCTGCCTCGAGACAAAGCTTGTCGTACTTCTCAGAGTCTGTAGAGTCTATCGGGCACCCGCGCAACCATCCGCAGCGCCCACATCTTGATTTGTGCCCCGCGAGCCGACCGCCTCGTTCTCGGTCTGCCAAAGCGAGCGCCGCGCGAACCACGACCCTCCTCATTCTTCCACTGCGGACACTGCTGAGAGGATAGAGCAACGCACCCAGACCCTTGTTTCCGTCTGTTGCTGTCTAGCCAAGCGCGAATCCTCCAAGTAGGGCGAACGAGTGAGGGAAGGGCGAAAAGGCGAGGGCGAGGGCAAAAATGGGTGACGTGGCTCTCGATCCTGGGAGCGACTGTCCGCCCGGACAGTCGTTGCCAGACCCGACGCCGCAGCGAGGCGAGTCGACGAGGCCAGGGTTGTGCTGGCCGTGATATCAGTGGCTCTGCGGGCTTGAAACTCGGTCAGCATACTCAGACAGGCTCAGCAAGGAGATTGAACGCACCGCCAGCCCTGCGCGCCGCCTGCGAGTCGAGCGAGAGCCGTCGAAGTCTGGACGGCTTTGGCGGTCTGCTCGACGGCGTGGCGCGGTGCGGCTGGCGCGGGATCGAGTCGTTGGAGTGCAGACAGTAGCTGAACAAACAAGCGAGACCACAGAGCGGGAGGTGAGCGAGTTGCGAACACCCGGTTGGAGTGAGACGGGCACTCGTTCGCGAAGTCCGGTCCCGCAGAGCGAGTGCCCGCTTCACCTCGACCACTCCTTGCCTGCTCAGCTATACAGCTCCTGGACGCTCAGACTGCTGTCCATGGCGACAAAATACGCTGCAGCAATACGCGCCTCGCTCGCACGGTGTCGCTCGTCGTCTCCGCCCTCACTCTCACCGTGACCACCGATCCTGTGCTGCAGGCGCCACAACGCCGTTCCCTGCTAGCCAGTCTCCACACCACAAGAACAGGAATAAGCGGAATTGGACTTGCCTCGCTCGCATACTTGCTTGCGGTTGATGTCGATCGCGGTGGGCTGAGGAGGGGCAGTCACCGCTGGGCGAGGTCTCCCGTCCGCAATTGGCTCAAGCTGGCTTGGTCGGGCATGGCGCAGCTCGCAAGAAGGCGCTGTGGTCGAGGGTATCGCGCGAAGCTACTTTGGATCATGTGTCGTCGACTGCTATTGGCCTTGCCCAGCCTTTCGAACGCCTCACAGCGGCCCATCGAGCTCGAACAAAGATCGTTCGCGGCTAAGGAGAACGCCGGTCACTTCCTCAGCGTCGTGGAGACTGAGTGGTGGCTTCGCGGCCGTCTGAGCCTGTCGCTAGGACTGATTCTCCCAATTCACCGCCCGACTTGGCAGTGTACGCGGGTCTTCAGGTTGCAATGCTGAAAACTGCGGTGTGATTCATGCTGACCTGCAGGGGAGCTTGATGCTGCCTGATTCTGGGTTAAGTTGGAAGCTTGCGCCTCGATTTGTCGTTTCCGTGTAGTGCCAGCGCGCACGAAGAATGTGATGTTCTCCTTGGAGTGGTTGCCGTCGTTATTGGCAAAAGGGCAGAAAGCAGCCCTACAGCGCACAGCTCCAGAGCTGAGGAAAAAGGAAGCCATCCTCGGTGGAGGAAGGAGCAAACGGAGTTGCTACGAACGGGAATCGAACCCGTGGCCGGAGCGAGCACACACTGTCTAGTGGGAAGCTCCGAGGTTACCACTACCCCATCGCAGCCAGATTTTGAGGGAACGGGAGGACCAAACGACATCCTTCGGCGACGAGGACTTT